ATTTTCAGGACCCTCCTGGATAATGGGATTTAATTTAAAGTTTTCAGGACCCTCCTGGATAATAAAATTTAGTTTTAAGTTTTAGCGTAAGTTCTCCCTTTAGAAAATATAATTTATCTTTAAAGTTATCACTCTTAAGATGAGATTTAATTCGAAGTTTTCAGGCCCCTCCTGGAAAATGGGATTTAGCTTTTAAATTCTTAGAGCTCTGTAGGTAATATGATCTGATTAACACTCACAAATATGCCCAGATCCTAAACTGGGGCAGAAAAATTTCTTTTGTTTTGTTTGGTTTGTTGCAATATCAGGCGCCCACCTGGATAACAAGGGAATACATTTCAGGTTTTGGTAATCAGGCGCCCACCTAGATAACAAAGGAATACATATCAAGTTTTAGCAATCAGGCGCCCACATGGACTACAAGGGAATACATATGAAGTTTTGGTAATCAGGCGTCCACCTGGATAACGAGGGAATCTAATTTTAGCAATCAGGTGCCCACCTAGATAACGAGGGAATACAGTTTCAAGTTTTAGCAATAAGGCGCCCACCTGGATAACGAGAGAATACAATTTCTAGTTTAGTAATCAGGCGCCCACCTGGATAACGAGGGAATACAGTTTCTAATTTTATCAATCAGGCGCCCACCTGGATAACGAGGGAATACAGTTTCAAGTTTTAGCAATCAGGCGCCCACCTGGATAACGAGGGAATACAGTTTCAAGTTTTAGCAATTAGGCACCCACCTGGATAACGAGGGAATACAGTTTCAAGTTATTGGCAATCAGGAGCCCACCTAGATAACAAGGGAATACAATTTAAGTTTTGGAAATCAGGTACCCACCTGGATAACGAGGGAATACAGTTCAAATTTTTGGCAATCAGGCGCCCACCTGGATAACGATGGAATACAATTCAAGTTTTGGAAATCAGGCACCCTCCTAGATAACGAGGGAATACGATTCAAGTTGTTGGCACTCAATCGCCCACATGGATAACGAGGGAATACAATTCAAGTTTTGGAAATCAGGCACCCCCCTGGATAACGAGGGGATACAATTCAAGTTGTTGGCAATCAGGCGCCCACCTAGAGAACGAGGGAATTCATTTCAGAGTTACTTTCAATTCACAAATTTATGAAGTATCAGGAGCCCGCCTAAAGAACAGAGTCCACTTTTCAGTCTCATGTTGAAGATTAAATAGAGATTCAATGAAGGAACCGCGGACTGGAACCTAGACGGCACCTCGACCGACTCTCCACCTCAGTATACTCCATCACCTCATTCACTTCTAAACTACATGTGGCCTGATTCCTTTATAGCCAAGGATATGTAGGCAGCTCAGACACCAGGACTCGGTCACGCTCTCTTTTCTTTTAGTTTTTGGTCTCTCTAAATAAGGGTCGGGTCAAAAAACCTGTCTAGTCATTCTTTGTCTGAAAATACTTCGTATTTCCGCTCAAAGAGGGGCAACTATAGACATGAGATTTTTGACCCTCCCCAAGATTTTGCATATTTTAGCAGTTAATTACTTAGTTTAGGCCTAATATAGTTATTTTAACTAGTTTTAACTCTTTTACTCTAATTTAAGAACAAAAATTGAAAATTACAAAAATAGTTCCATATTTTTCTATTTAATTCAAGTGTTAGATATTTTTAGAAGGATATATTACTTCGAACCTATTATATTTTAATATAACATTTGAAAAATACAAAAAAAAATAATTTCATATTATATATATAATTTAGTTTAATTAATTAGATCAATTTTTGCATTATGTAATATATTTATCTTATATTAAGAGGGATTTAACTAAGATTTGGACATCTGTTTTAGCCTAATGTTAAAGGCCCAAATTCGAAGCCCACCCTTCACTAACCCAACAAGACCTAACCTAGATGAACCTTTCTTCTTCCTTACCGAGACTACAAGAAAACCGAGCTTCATCTTCTTCTCCAAGACCATAGGAGCAACAAAAAACAATAGAGATAAAAACCTAGAAATACACAAACATACAAGACAGCCATGGCTTGATCTTCTTCAACCTGAGACTACAACAAAAACCCTAGACACCATAAAAACCACCAGCAGCCGCCAGTCCACCCCCATCGTCGGATCTGTCACGCCGCCGACCAGCCACACAGCTGCTGCCATCTCCAAAAAACAACCAGCCTCATCGCCGCTGAGCAACCCCCAGCCCACGACCATATCTCCAGCTCCCTATCCATCGTCGTGGCACCACAAACACCAACAAACGAGCCACGCTTGACCACCACCAGAAAACCTCCATTAACATCGCCACATGAAGCTCGAAACTATCTGAAAAACCAGCCACCCAGCTCGCCGGAATCAACCAGCACACCCCCCCTCGTCGCCGCTGGACAGAAGCCGACGAGCAGCATAGCCATTGCTGCTTCTTCCCCATAAAAGACCACCCACTCGATCTTCACCTCTCCCGCTGCCAACGTTGACAACAAATTTCAGTCACAACATTAGCTCTTGAGTCGCCGGAATCAATGGCGTAAAAACGGCAAAAACAGTTAACAAAGAAGAAGAAGGAAAAACAGAAAATTTTAAAAAAAAAAGAGAGAAAAATTTTTGCTTATTAACTTTTCAATTCCAGAATTTTGTTCAAGGATAGATTTTGATTTAAATGTGGGTCTGAATCCGTGTTTGGTTGAGTCTTTGGTGACGATTCGAGATTCTGACCGGTTTTTCAGCTTCTCGGTCCAGTTCGGGTTCTTGTTTGGTGAGATTCGTCCGTCGAGTTGCGATTCTGGTTCCTGACGTGTTACTGTAATTGCTTGAGGTTCACTCTAACTTCCCTCTGTGTTGATATATTCTGTCACATGTTCCTCTTTGTTACTACATTCCATTACATGTTAAAGTGGTGCATTTCCTTTCAATTCTACTGATTTGATGATCCTTGATGGTGTTAGCATGTGTTAGATTTTATTTGTTTGTGATATTGAGGGTCAATTCATTAAATCGAAAGATATTAGAGCATAAATGTTTCATTTAGTTTCGTTTTATTGCTTTGACCGCTAGGAGCATGTTTAGTCCGTCATCACCTGGGTAGGCAAACTTTAGGATTTTTGTTAATTTTGGGGCGAGAGGTCGTTCCCGTAGTTAAATTTATCCGGGGAATGCCCCGTGAAGTTTGTATATATTATTACCCAGAATATGCCCCGAAGAACTATGTAAATATTTTGGAGGCCTTGGCGTGCATGGCGGAGAAGTCGTAGTATAGGTTAGTTTAGGATTTTTGTTTTCCTTTCCTTCTCATTTTCTTTCATTTAGGTGAGGACGACCTCGAGCCTCTTATGTGTTTATTTTATTTCTGTGTGTTTTACCTCAATTCGAATGTTTTGAAAGCCAACTAGATCGAGTACGCAACCGTGACCCTCACGGGACTTAGGGAGTGCCTAACACCTTCTCCCCGAGTCAAATGAACCCCTTTACCCTAATCTCTGGTGCGGACTTTGTTTTAGAGTCTGAAACATTTTAAAAGGAAAATTATTTTTAAAAAAAATGGTGACCTGACACACCAAAATCAGATGTCAGGTGGCGACTCTGAGTTATTTCCTTTTGAAGACAATTTTGTCACGTTCTAATTGGAAAACCCTTTCGAGCTTTACTAAATCTTTTTTTATTTATTTAAGAGGGTTAGTGAGGTTTGTTAAAATAGGGGTGTGACAGACATAATATATATCTGCCAAAAATTCGAATTTGATTTGTTTTATCTTATTTATCAATAAGTCGTAAAATTAGGAAGTATGTGCGTGCTTGCAAAAGTTGGCATGTCGATCAGCACTCAATAAGTTAATTATACCTTAATAAGCAAGCAAACCATTTTGACTTGGTTATCTTAACTCATGTTCAACACGGTAAACTCAATATAAAAGAAACATTTCGCAATTAATCTCATATATTCACCTAAAAAACCCGTGCATAAAATAAATACTATATTTCAAATTGTCATTTGAACTACGCAATATAATACTTGTAAGCACGTAATTTTTGACCCATGCAAATTTTAAAGTTAATTTTAGTATTTTAATATTTTTAAAATATTTACTTGACTTTATTTAATATAATTTTAATCTTTTTACTTTTAGTCCTAAGATGTAAAAAAAACATAAATAGTTTTATTTATCGTGTTTATCGCTTTTCTATATTTTTATCTTTAGTTTAAGATCAATTAGTATATTTTTATTCATGGTATCTTAATTTATCATGACTTTAGCCTATTTTCTTTACTTTTTATTTTATTGTTATAACATTTAAAATACAAAAAAGCAGTTTCATTTTAAATATTTATTTATTTACTTAACTAAGTTTAATTAATATTTTGGTAGGATTTTTGAGTTTGTCTTTGTCCAACAAGAAAATTTGTAGGCCCAAAGGTGTGAGTCCATTTCCTTTAACTTAAACCCAATTATTCTTAGCCATTCTTTCCAACCCATTAGCCCATTTATGTGCAAGATTTAATCCTAGCCATCTATTTCCTTCTAATCCAATGGCCATCATCTCTTCCCACCTTCATATAAAATACCCAATTATAAAAACCCTAACCCAAGTTTTCAATTCCTAGTCTTGAACTAAAGTAGGAGCAGCGCCGCAAGTCCACCCTCCATCGTCGGATCTCTCACGTCGGAAAACGCAGCAGCAACAGCCGCTGACCCCTCACTCATGGCTGCCATCTTCAACAAGATACACAACACAAAAACCCTAGAACCCATCTTCTTCCTCATAAGATAACTAAGACAACAAAGAGACAAAAACCCTAGCTGAACCCTAACCTACTGCCGTCGCCGCCCCTCGCTGGCAACCACCACAACCACCTGAACCCGCCCCCATCCGCGACCAGCAGCCCATCAACAGAGTTACCCAGATCGTTGCTTCACCAGTCATCTTCTCCAATGGCCCTAACTTCTTCTTCATGAAGACAAGTGACTCTCATGGTCGCCCAACCTCTGATCTCTAAAACACCATAGCCGACCAGCATCCACGCCACCTTCAGCTGTCACTGACCACCTTCTGCTCCTTCGTCACACACCAGCACACCCCGCTTCTTATCCTTCACCTTCATAGTAGATCGGATGTTGTTCCTCCACCACCGGGTTCACCGAAAACAACACCAATGGCCGCCAAATCGTCGAAAAGCAGCAGCAGCGGCTCTTAAGTAGCTAAAGAACTCACGTCGCCTTTTTTAGAGCTTGGTTCGTCATTATTCAGTCTTCGATTGGTGACGATTTTGGGTTCGAAGTGGAAATTCCGGCAGCAATAGTTGTCAACTTCAGTCATCGGTGGAGAGTCGAGGTCGATAGATGTTCCGTTCGGCATCGCTAGTCGCGGTTCCCGTTCCGTCATCGAAAGGTCCATCTCTTCGTTCTATTATTACTTCTTTAATTTTGTGATATAAAAATATGATATGGAGCTTTGGTTTAGATTGCATTTAATCTGTGTTATATAATTAGTGATTTAAATGTGCTTGGTTTAGGAATCATATTAATGATTTGAATATGTGTTCATGTTTGTTCTCATTGCTTGGTTTCTCATGGGTTCAAGAAGCTGATCCATGTTTAATCACTTGAGATTATTTGATTCCTATAGCCAATGTCAAATATTTTTGTTAGCGGACATTTGTGAATTTGGACAAATCTGACTGCTAGTTGTTGGGTTTAAGAGGATAATCTTTGGGGATGTGCTTTAAAATAAGATTGGATCTAAAGTTACGGAATGAGGTAAAACACAAGTTGTCAGTGTTCTAAATTTTTCACTTGCGTAGATCTATTTACTAATTTATCGGTCGGAGCATGCTTAGGCCGGCAACACTTGGGTAGGCAAGCCTTAGGATTTTGTAGTTTTGAGGCGAGAGATCGTTCCCTTAGTTAATTTTATCTGGGGAATGCCCCGTTGACTTTGTATATATTTGTATCCGGGGTATGCCCCGAAGTGAACGTAAATGGAGGCCAAAAGTATAAACTTGTAGTATTTTATTTTATTTTCATTTTTCTTTTCTTTATTTTAGGTGGGGATGACCTCGAGTCTCTTTTGTATTTATTCTCCTTTTTTTTGTGATTTCGCCTCAATTCGAACATTTTAAAAGCCAACTAGATCGAGTACGAAACCGTGACTTTCATGGGACTTGAGGAGTGTCTAACATCTTCTCCCCGAGTCAAATGAACCCCCTTACCCAAATCTCTGGTGTAGACTTAGTTTTAGAGTTCAAAGTGTTTTGAAAGGAAAATTATTACTTTTGGATAACCGGTGACCTAACACACCGAAATCAAATGTCAGGTGGCGACTCTGAGTTAATCCTTTTGAACACACAACTTTGTCACTTTTTAATTAAAAACCCTTTTGAGCTTTACTAAATCTTTTTATTTATTTCAGATGGTTCAGTGAGAAGTTTAGTTAAAAAGGGGTGTGACTTCTCTGGTGACTCTGCTGGGGAAAGAAGGGTTCGAACTGGTATTTGATCTTATTGGCTTTTAGGATATTCAGTTGAGGTGTTTGTTTTCTTTATTTGCTTTGTTTATTTGCTTTGTTTGTCTTATTTCCTTGTTTTGTTGGTTATTTCTTTATCACTTTTCTTAATGTGTTACTGTTTTATAAATTGTCATCATGTGCATAACCATGGGTCTTCTTTCTGCAACAAGTCTCGGAGTACGCATTGCGTGCACGAACTCTTTGTTGAGTCACCCTTAATTTAGGAGGGGGCCGTCGGACGTATGGAGTGGGTGGAAAGCTTGAGCAGCCACCATCGACCATACGCTCCCCCGAATTGCCTAGTTAGTGAACCCCAAACTTAGGTCAACCTTTAGGTCATTTTTATTTGCATCATGTCATTTAGACCTAACAGGGCTCAGTCCTAGGTACCGTGTCCCTTTGTAGGAAGCCTATCCAAATTTTGTCAAAATGGGCCCGTGGCCCAAAAAGACATTCAATCATCCCTATGTGATACATGTTGCATCTTTGAGGGTAAAAAGATCATTTGGCGGACCGATGCTTGGGAAAGAAGGGTGAAAGACGAAGCAAGTAGGGCCCAGTTATATTTTTCTTTCACTACTTTTTAAAAAAAAAAAATGAAAAATCCAAAAAGATTTCACATTTTCCCATTATTTTCCAAAAATTAAAAAAAAAAAGATAATCCAAAAAGATTTTACACTTTCCCGTTATTTTCCAAAAATTCAAAAAACAAAAAGAGAAAAAGAAAATCCAAAAAGATTTTACATTTTCCAAAAATTCAAAAAAAAAAAGAGAAAAGAAAATCCAAAAAGAGTTTACATTTTCCATCATTTCTCAAAAAGACAAAAAATATGGTTTTTCCAAATTAGTTGCATTTGTTTTAAAGGGTTTCTCCCATGACCAATCTTCCCGAACTACGCGAACCTGATTCTCATCTTCTGGGGCGGGATACCTAGGCAACCCACATAGGGTTTGGTCTTCCTAGTAGGTCCTAGGTTCTTGGCTTCCGGAGTCGTAGCCAAATCTTGCATGTATAGCCATATTTGGCCACATTGGCCGTTTTTGCCAAAAATAGAAGTGTTTTCTCAAAGTAGTTTGTTATCTCTTGTCTTAGGATCTTGAGTCTACAATAAAGTGTCCTCTTAATTCTAAGGTTCATTCCTGTCAAATTTGCATGTCTAGCCACTTTTGGCCACATCGGCCATTCTTGCAAAATAGGGTTATTTTCGCAAGAGTGACTCAATTACCCATGTCTTAGGATCTTGAGTTTATAACTCGGTGTCATATCACTTTAAGGTCCATCCATGTTGTGTTTGCTTCCCTAGCCACATTTGGCCACATCGGCCATTTTTGCAAAAAGGGTCCATTTCTGCAAAGTAATTTTTAAGACCATGATTGTCGGGATATTAGAGTCATGTAAGCTTTAAATGGAGTATTTCTCATGCATTAGGGGTCAACTTTGTCAAGTTTGCGCTAATAGCCACTTTCAGCCACTTAGACCATTTTGCAAATATAGCCAAGTTGTGTCCTGCATTTGTTGACTCAGAAATGTGGTGGGGTCACGTAGTGTCCCGAGTCGCTAACCATGTTTGCTTCATTCAGGTATGGACCCGCTGATTCGATCCAAAGTGCTGATGGTAGTAAAGATTCCTAGGAAGTTGATCAAGTGGTGGAAAATGTTTTCATCGTTAGAGCAGCATGAGTTAATGCAGAAATTGGGCACCCTAACTTCCCTTCTTGATATCACACCCCGCCCAGACTTAGTGGAGGCGATGCTGACTTATTGGGATCCGCAAAATTTGATTTTCAGATTTGGGGAGTGTGAGATGACTCCTACCTTGGCGGAAATGTCTGGTCTCACTCGTTTAAGCTATATAGGCAAGGACATGATACTTCCCCGAGACCACTCTAGGACAAGATTCCTCAGCGACCTGGGCCTGAAAGATAATAAGCATTTAAAATGTCTCGAGCAGTCCTGGATATCCTTGGATTATTTGTTTTCTAGATTTGGACCACAGGAAAGTTTTGACATCTTTTGGGATGAGTTCTGCACAACCAAGGCAAAGTGGCAAAGACGTCGCCTCGAAGCTTTCAGCCTTGCTTTATTGGGATTATTGGTTTTTCCATTAGATGAGAGGCATATTAGCACCTGTCTACAGTCAGTGGTAATGTCACTATTTCTTGAGAAGCAACGCAAAATCGTTACCGTTGTGCCGATGATCTTAGTAGAGTTGTACCGAGCCTTGAGTGAGGTTAGGGGAGGTGTCAGATATTTTGAGGGAAGTAACCTTTTGCTACAGCAGTGGATGATAGAGCATTTGCACACCACTTCCTTACTTTGTCCCATAAACTGTGCCTTGAGGGATCGGGTGGTATGCATCGAATGTAGGATGAAATCTCCTAAGTTTACGTACCCAGTAGGTGTCACGGTTTGGATTGAGTTCCTAGGTTTGAGGACAAATGGGAATGTTTTGTGGGCTTACCTTTGGATGATATCTTGGTAGGGTGCCTCATGCAACCTTTCCTGATGCTGATAGGACTCAAGAATGTCAGGTCGTACACTCCCGTTAGGGTAATACGACAATTGGGCAGAAGACAAGAGGAGCCTCCAATTTTGAACCTTCGGAGGCACATCATAAATTTTAGCAAAAAGGAGGCTGATGAAATCAAGTATGTGCAATACTGGAACAATGCAAAGAGGATGAAGAAAAATACATTAGTAGAGGACATTGGCAGGCCCGAGTGTACTCAAGAGTACTTGTTTTGGTTACAGTCCATCCCACCAGGGGTCAGCATCCCATTGCCAGCCCAACTCAGGGGTCGGGCAGTTCAGACAGATGATTCTGAAGAGGCATCAGACCAAGATCCCTGGGATAAGCTTGAGTTGATAAAGTCTCAGTTAGCGGGATTGGCAGCAAACGTGGAGCAGCATAGCCAGTATTTGTTTAGGGTCGGCCTTCAGGATGCGGGGGCACACGCCAGTGCCTTTATTCCCAGCATCGGTGTTTCCTTATGAGGCATGTTACAGAGTTTGAGCATGACGGATAGCCCAGGACCATCCCGGTCAGGACAGTCGCATTCAGGAGTAGCTTGAGGAGTCATTCTATTTAGGTGTTTTGAGATTGTCTTATGTATTCTTTTACTTTCGTGTCTTGTCTAGAAGTACCGAGTCCTTTAGGTAGTGTCAGAGTCTGTCGTAGTGTAGTTGAGTCTGTCATGTATTTCATTATTGTATTTCCCTTTGTATTTTAATATCGAAAAGTTTTAAATGAAAAATCCCAAAAAGATTTTGTTTTCAATTTATTTTCCACCACTTCTCCAGAACTACGCTTGGTCTGATTCATGAGGGACATGATACGTAGGCAACCTACATCAGGTTCGATCAAATCATTTTTGGTTCAAAATAAAAAGAGAAAGAAAAAAAAAGAGTGATAAGAGGTGTTGGAAAAGAAAGAGAAGGAAGGATTGAAATGAGCAAATCAGGATGATGCCATATGACCCTGCGACCCTCAAAACCATTTTAGAACCGTTAATTGTTGTTAGGTACATTGCACGTAATGTGATATTATTATTTGATAAATGCTCTAACGCTAACATGGTGGTTTTGTATTGTTGTCCTCTGTTATCTCTATTAAGTTTCAGGAAGGTGGTTAGTTTGTTGGCATCCTGGAAAGTCATCCATACAACACCCAATCAAAGCGTCAAACAGTCATGGCTAGCAAGGAAACAGACACTGGAGTTGTAGACCCACCATGGGAGATTGTTGAGTCAGAATCGAAACTGCAAGAGGAAGTCCGGAGGTTGAAGCATCAGATGGCAGAAATGTATCAAGCCTGGATTAAGGGACACCCTCGTTCCCTACCAACTACATAGAAAACCCTGCTTCCATTCCACCACTCTCTCAATCCCAGATGCCCAATACCATTGATTTTCCCCACAATACGCACCTAGCTTTACCCCTTACCACAACTACCCCGGCACTTCAGCCCAAACTATTCATGCTCCGCCAGCCAAAACAACCTCATACCCTGCTCCGACATCTGCTCCTATTTTTGTACCCCCTCCACAAGCTACCCTCCACCTATCCTCTAGTGAGCCTGCATTCCCCGCTATAGATTCCCACTACTATGCACCGGAGCCCACCTTCAAAGTCCCAGATCCTTACTCTTACAATCCCCAATTTGAGCCTCATGTTGAAACTGACAAACCACCCAAGAACGCAGAGCAAGAAGAGATGTTTAGGAAGGTACAAAGTCTAGAGCAATCATTGAGAAATATGCAAGGGTTGGGAAACCAAGTGAGTGTGGCCTATAAGGATTTGTGTTTGTTCCCCGATGTCCAATTGCCTGCCGGGTTCAAGATGCCCAAGTTTGACTTGTATGACGGACATGGGGATCCTGTAGCTCATTTGAGAGGTTATTGTAGTAAAATGAGAGGCGCCGGGGGAAAGATGAATTACTGATGGCATACTTCAGCCAAAGTCTGAGTGGGGCAGCTTTAGAATGGTACACCCGCCAGGACGCCAGCAGGTGGTACACCTGGGACGATATGGCTCAAGCCTTTGCCCGGCACTTTCAGTAAAATATAGACATTGTTCCAGACCGCCTATCTCTGACCAAGGTGGAAAAGAAACCCAGTGAAAGCTTTAAAGAATATAGGTTCTGATTGAGGGAGCAAGCTGCATGAGTCAATCCTCTGATGGAAGAGGACGAGATGGTTAAATACTTTCTTCAAGCCCTGGAGCCCACTTACTATAGCCACTTGATTTTAGCCATTGGTAAGTCTTTCAATGATGTGGTGAATATGGGAGAAATGGTGGAAGAGGGGCTCAAGTCGAGTAAGATCATGAGCTATTCTGCTATAAAAGCAACCACCCAGCAATCCAGAGTGGTATCGGAAGTTTGCTAGGCAAGAAGAAGAAGGAAGACGTCGCTATGTTTGTCTCCGGATTATGGCATGGCCAGAGGGGTTCACCTCATCAGTACATCCATCCTCGACCCTGACCTCAAGCCTATGCCCAAGCTCCATATAATCCACCTCAACATTACTTTTCCCCGCAAAATCCCCAATACTCAGCCAGGCCATCCCAATACCTTGTTCACCATGCACAGTTATATGCTCAACCCCCTCCTTACCCGCAATGGCGTGCTCCAGCTCCGCAGAATATCTACCCAGCTCCACAAAATACCTATCCACCCCCACATTCCGTTGCTAAAACCCCACTGGTTCAAATTTTCAATCAAGGCCAGAGTATAGGAGAGAGAGGCAGCAACGGAAACAAACTTTTAGCAAAGGTTAAGGCAGTTTCCGTTAACAAACTTATATGCCAAGCCAGAGTATTGGAGAGTCTTATGCTAGTCTGTTTCAAAGGTTAAGGCAGTTGGACGTCTTGAGGCCAATTGAGTCAAAGATACCAAATCCCCCTCCAAAGAACCTCGATTATTCCCTAAGATGCGCCTATTGTTCTGATGATCCAGGGCATGACATAGAGAAGTGTTGGCATTTGTAACGGGCAATCCAGGAGCTCGTTAATACATACCAAATTGTAGTCCAAAGCCTAGATGCACCAAACATCAACCAAAACCCTTTGCCAGCCCATGCAGAGACGCACATGATTGAAATAGTTCACAAGGATGGGGAGCCCAAAAAGTCTTCTAAGTCCGTCATGATGATTCGGGCCACTGAAAGAAATTTGGTTAAAGCTCCAGACTCTACCAAAGAAACGCCCTTGACAGTTGAAGGGATGACAGAAAAGCCGAGCTTACTCAATTTGAAACCACCAGTGTTGGTCGTGAAAGGGCTGTCTAAAGATATCGGGGAAAGTCCGGAAAGTTCAAAAGTGGTAGTACCAGGGATTTCAAGTAAGCCTGTCATAGTTGTGAAGGGGGATCCTACTACCCCTATCATCATTAAACCAGTAACCCAGCTTCCAGTGGTGGATGCCAAGGCTATTCCGTGGAATTATAAGCAAGTGATAGTGACATACAAAGGAAAAGAAATAGAGGAAGAAGTCAATGAAACTGGAGGATTGACTCGTTCTGGGAGATGTTTCACCCTAGAAGAATTAAGGAAAGCCAAGCCATTCAAGGATAGCCCAATGCTAGTAAAGAAATCGGTCACCGAGGAAGAGGCTAAGGAGTTCTTGGAAAAGATGAAAGTGCAGGATTATTCCATTGTGGAGCAGTTAAGGAAAACACTAGCTCAGATTTCGCTTTTGTCTTTGTTGATACATTCAGATGAACATCGCAAGGTCTTGATGAAGATTTTAAATGAGGCACACGTTCCTAATAAGATCACAGTGAACCACTTGGAAAAGATAGCTGGCAAGATCTTCGAAGCAAATAGGATCACTTTCTCGGATGATGAACTTCCTATGGAGGGTACAGAACACAACCGAGCTCTTTATCTCACAGTGAAGTGTGGAGATTCTGTTGTCTCAAGGGTTTTGGTTGATAATGGCTCTAGTGCGAATATTTGTCCCCTATCTACTCTACAAAAACTAAAGATTGGCACCGAAAGAATCCACTTGAACAGTGTGTGTGTTCGAGGCTTTGATGGGGGAGGTAAAGATTTTGTTGGAGATATAATGCTCGAATTGTCGATAGGGCCTGTTGAGTTTACCATGGAATTCCAAGTGTTAGATGTGGCTGTCTCCTACAATCTGTTATTAGGCAGGCCCTGGATACTTGCTGCTAAGGCAGTCCCATCTTCTCTGCACCAAATGGTAAAGTTTGAATGGGACAGGCAGGAAATAGTTGTGCACGGTGATGAGGACTTGTTAGCTTGTAATGATACAATTGTTCCGTTCATCGAAGCTAAAGATGATAAGGGACATTGGGTCTATCAGACTTTCGGAACAGTGTCTGTTGAGAAATTTCCTGAAGGAAAATGCATTCCGGGTCCTAAGCTATCCTCCGCGTCCGTCATGGTTGCGAATGAAATATTAAAGAATGGTTTTGTGTCATCTCTGCAAGGTATTGTGCATCCAGTGTGCCCTAGTGGGAATCTTGGTACGTTTGGTTTGGGATTCATGCCCACCGAGAAGGACGTGAAAAGGGTTAAAATCTGAAAAGAAGGTATGGTCGCTCCCCAAACCCGTCCCACACATCTCTAAGTCTTTTGTCAAGCCAGGGGCCGAAAAATCTCCAACCTCCTCAATCCCAAAACCTGTGGTCGATGTTGATGAAGAGCTGATCAAGAGGTTCCAAAGTCTATTCGAAGAGGTCAATATGGTAGAAGTTGGTGAAGGCTCTAGTAAAGCAAATGTGCGCTCGTTGGCCCAAACGTGAAGCTTAGCAATTGGGAAGCTACTTCTCTCCCCACCTGGAAGGAGTTTTGGTAGTTTGCTTTGTTTTCCTTTCTGTTATCTGGGTTATTCCAGGGTTGTAATCCATATTTTTAGTTTTTGCTTGTTTTGATGTTCAAACCCTTCTATCCTTTTATTTTCAATGAAGTGCAATTTTCCGTTTTCCGTTATTCTTAATAGTGTTTTATTTTGTTCTTTATTCTTTTTTTTGTACAGCTCTTTTTATGCTGGTTGTAGTGACATGACATGCATGAAGAGTTTTCAGCCGAGTCTTAAAAGCCAATCTAATTCTGAAATAACAATCCAAGAAGTAGAATATGATGGTGAAATAGAATATGATGAAGAAGCAGCATTTGAGGAAATCAGTAAAGAGCTAAAACAATTTGAAGAAAAACCAAAGCCTAATTTGAGTGAAACCGAAGCAATCAATTTAGGGGACCAGGATGATGTTAGGGAAACCAAGATAAGTGTGCATTTAGAACTGCAAGTTAAGGAGGAAATAATCAAAACATTGTTTGAGTACAAAGATGTCTTTGCATGGCCATATGATGATATGTCAGGCCTAAGCACTGATCTGGTAGTTCATAAATTGCCAACTGATCCAGCATTCCCTCCTATCAAGCAAAAGTTGCGAAAGTTCAAGACTGATATGAGTGTGAATATCAAATAAGAAATCACAAAGCAACTTACTACAAAGGTCATTTGAGTCACTCGATATCCCACTTGGTTAGCCAATGTTATGCCAGTACCAAAGAAGGATGGTAAGACTAGGGTCTGTGTTGATTACCGTGATCTTAACAAAGCAAGCCCAAAGGATGATTTTCCATTGCCGAACATTCACATTCTGATCGATAATTATGCCAAGGATGAGATTGGGTCTTTTGTGGACTGATACGCGGGATATCACCAGATCTTGATGGATGAGGAAGATGCAGAAAAGACAGCATTCATCACGCCATGGGGAACATACTGTTATCGGGTAATGCCATTTGATTTG